AAAAAAAATACAGTGCCTATGACCGGGAGCTCTTGGCTGCATACACGGCCATCAAGTACTTTAGGCATATGGTTGAAGGTCGACCGTTTATATTATTTACGGATCACAAACCACTGACTTATGCCTTCCAGCAAAAAGCTGACAAGTGTTCTCCGAGACAACTCAGACATTTGGACTTCATCAGTCAATTTACTACAGACATTCGTTTCGTAAAAGGAATGGACAATGTAGTAGCAGATGCTCTCTCACGCATCGCCATCTCCACCATCGAGACACCATCGTTTATAAACTTCCAAGAGATGGCGGTAGCGCAGCAAGGAGACACGGAACTACAAAAATTCCTAAGTAATACACCTAACTCTCTTAAGCTCCAGTCGCTGCCAGTAGGAGAGCCAGCTGTAGACCTATATTGTGACGTTTCCACCGGCCGGATACGACCATTCGTACCCAAGGACTTTCGTCGGCAAGTTTTTGACCAACTTCACGGACTTTCTCACCCAGGTGTTAGAGCTTCAATTAAACTCGTTCAAGAACGGTACGTATGGCCATCAATGAGAGCCAACGTGTCGGCATGGGCTCGCACATGCATTCCATGCCAACAAGCAAAAGTCTCTCGACACACCCGGAGCCAGTTGGGCCTCTTTATCGCGCCCAATGCCAGATTTGAACACGTCCACATCGACTTAGTAGGACCCTTGCCTCCATCAGATGGATACAGATACTGTCTCACCTGTGTTGACCGTTTCTCTAGATGGCCAGAGGCATTCCCTCTAGTCGAAAGCACTGCACAAGCAGTAGCAGAGACGTTCTACTCAGGATGGATAGCCCGTTTTGGCCTACCACTGCGCCTAACAACGGATCAGGGAGCACAGTTCGAGTCCTCGCTTTTCTCAGCTTTTACTTCTTGGTTGGGAACGAAGAGGATTCGTACAACTCCCTACCATCCAGCTGCTAATGGACAAGTAGAGCGGTTTCATCGCCAACTTAAAGCTGCAATAATGGCCCATTCCACCAGCCGTTGGACTGTCGCACTCCCGACAGTACTCTTAGGATTTAGAGCCGTGTGGAAGGACGACATACAGGCGACAGCAGCAGAGATGCTCTACGGAGCCTCTTTACGGATCCCAGGTGAATTTCTCTCTCCAACACAGGACCATCCCGACCCGGCGACCTTCGTCGGCAGGCTGAGAGAGGAAATGCACAAACTCAAACCCGTCACACGTCCACACAGAAATGCTGCAGTGTTCGTGCACAAAGACCTTTCCTCCTGTGCACACGTCTTTCTAAGAACTGACACAGTCCGAAGAGGACTGCAACCACCTTACGAAGGCCCATACCGTGTGTTAAAGCGTGGACCCAAAAACTTCAAACTGGAAGTAAAAAAGCGTCATATCACTGTCAACATCGATAGACTCAAACCCGCATACATATGTGCGGATGACTCAACGTTCTCCCCATCTACATCAACAACAGCTTCAGCAGAAACAGCAACAACAGGGGCAACAACAACGGTACCCCCAGCAGAAGCTTCGCCACAGCAACAGAAAACTGTCACACGCGCAGGTCGTTGTGTAAAATTTAACCCCAGGTATTTGTAAATATCTCGCTATCGCTGGCGGGGGACTACTGTTGCGGTCGCGAACTACTTTCTATCGCGAACTAAATAGTCAACATTTTCTGTAGAGCGGTAATTTGCCCGGAGCGTTAGCCGATGAACTACTTCTGGACTAGCTGCCGAGACGACCAGTCGACCTTGCGCTACGTTCCACGAACTGTGATACCGCTCGTTAAAAAAACATTGTAAGATGGAGTTAGAATTTAACCTGCTAGTTAATAAAAGTGTCATGTTTTTACGTTATGTCGATCGATTTACTTTAATCGGTAAGTTGGGATCAACCCGACATTGGTGATCCCGACATGTTTACAACAAAATTAGCACTTGCTAAGATAACATGAAAAACTACAAGATAATATTCACTAGCACAGTCTAAAGGTCAACAATACACAATAGTAAAACAAGTTAAGATAAAAATATCACAAAATTTAATTGTCTCTTTATCCAATGTTTCATTATTTTTATTTATTCTTCCATGAATAAGTAAATTTTTGCTTCAGAAATATGAAAAATAAAATGCAGATATAAAGAGCTTTTGCTGTACTGTTCCTTTGGTACTACTGTAATTTTAAATTCAAATACGACTCAACAAAACTATAAGAGTATAGATCTGTTGTGTAGCATCCCACTTAAATGCATCATTTCATTTTATAGTTATAATTTTACATCTCTATATAATTTTCTCTACTTAATAAACATAATATATTTTTGAAAAAATATTTAAAACAAAGTAAATTTTTTGTAAATCAGAATCATAACAACTATATTTAAATGAAGATAATATATTCCCAAATATAAAAACTTGTCAACTTCCTAACAAAATTATTTAATAATTTTTTAATAGAAGAGTTGGGATATTTAATAATTATTATATTGTAATATAACATTGCAAAATTAATAAAAGTCTGTAACAAACATTTTGATCCTGATGTAATACAGACATTTCATAAAATTTATATTGTAAGAATAAATATTTTTATTAGTGTCCATAGTGAATAATAAATATTATAATTCACTAAGAACACTAGTAAACCATTAATATAATATATCATGGAATGTTTTATTGTACATGAAAGAATAAAAATTCAATTAAAACAAATGTAATTTTCAGAATTTATTAAAAAGTTAATAACATAAGGAAAATAAAAACAAAAGATAAAAAGAGATAAAAAAGTCATTAGTTTCAAACATTTAATTTATCTGATTTTCTCTATTACTTTACTACATTATTTCAATATAAATTTTCAGTAAGCAAGTCTGATTTTTTTACTGAAAATTTGGCTTGATAATTACAATAATTCAAATCAAATTATTATGCATGGCATCAGCTTCTGATTAGTTTTCTGAACGGCTAAGTTTTCCTTATTACAGAAGTGTCTAACATAAAATACTGTCAACCTGCACAAATGAGAGTTGACAAATGAAATAAAAATAAAAGGCTGCTACTTAACTGAATGTAAAATAAACAAATTGTAATTTATTTTGTGGCAGTGCACCTTGTATTTTTTTCTTTATGTATGTTTCTTTTTGTCTATTCCCTGTATTTCCAGATTTGGAATAGCTTGTCTATTCTTGTTTCTTTGAGTAACTTCAACTCTGGAGTAGCCCCTCTTCCTGCCCAATTGGGGAGGACCAGTCAGACGAGTTTTGAAAGTATTCCCAGGAAGTGAAGGAAGGAGGAGAACTTTACTTTTGGATGAGAGACAAGCCAGGTCAGACATCAGATCCATCTCTTACAAAGAGAAGACTTCCATGGGCCAGAGAAGGTCATCAAAGGAAAGCATGTGGGGCTTTAAGGTCTTCAAAGCCACAACTAACATGTGGAGGATGAAAACAAGATCACCACTAGATAAGCAAAATCATGCAAGGATTTACCTTTCTGCTTGATATTCAAGATTTGGATTGTCTTTTTCGCTGCCAATACTTTTCCGACTAAATAACATTACTACTCATTATCGTTTTGGACTGTTCTCACAGTACTATCTAAGTTGCCATCTCCCAGAACCAATTAATTTTGTAATAGCTTTAGTTTGGTAATAATTCTTAATTTTAGTCTAATACAGTAGAGCATCGATTATCCGAAACAATTCGGGACTGGGGTTGTTCGGATAACTGATTTTTTGAATAACTGATCATTTACACAAAAATATATTAAACACAAAACTGTACTGTATATAATTTGTATCACATGTCTTACAAATACATACCTTACATAATGTAATATATTAAACTAGGCCTACAGTTCAGTTTGGCAGGGAGGGGAAGAGTGCTGCAACACCACAGCTCTAGCGGAAATTTGAATTTGCCAACTGGAATACTTTCAGTTAACCGATGTTTTGGTTAATCGGTATTTGGATAATTGATGTTCTATTGTATTAATACATAAGATAAGATTAAATATATTAATATTATGGTTGTGTATTGTCAGTTTTGAGTTTGTTATTCACAGTTATCAGTCATGATCCAAGTCAAGTTTGTTGGGGTGCATTATTGTTTGGTTGAATCCCTGTCGCTGATATTCCAAGTCTTGTAGAGTATTTTTTGTATGTGTTTTGTGTTTTTAATAAACTTCTTGTATTTTGTTTATAAGCATATATTATTTCTGTCCATGACCCATTAGAAACTAATTTAACATCTCACAATTTCACAATTTATTTAATATTTTTACTTTAACTCAATCATCAGATTGTAGCAATACATTAATATAAGCCAGCATTTCAAGCCCAAGGACCAGTAAAATGTCTGAAAAAATTCTATAGACCACTAATATATGTATGCCTAATTTTTTTTTAAAACTTATGTGGTTATTACCAGCATTTGAGACATACTGTTCCATTTATAACATATTAAACTAAAAGCATGTTTTGAATATGCATGGAAAAATAATCACATTGGAACTTTACTATTAATTTAAGTCTGCCTGCAAACCATTTGTCTCATTATTGTGGACCACAGGTTGAGAAATGCTGATATAAGCTTTAGTACTGATGTCCTAGTAAACAATTTACAAATTATTATTATTAAAATCTAATCTACAAAATATTTAACTTCATTAGTATAAATTCTAGTATATTTAATAATAATATTTTTGATGACACACTGCAAGATCTTATCAAATTGAAGTATATTACAAATTTAACTTAATATCAGATTATTGCAAAAATATGAATAATCTAAGAATACCTGAAGGAAAACATAAAATATCTTTTAAAAAATAACTCTATATAAATTTTTGTGATTTAATGCTTAAAAGTAACAACTGTCCACAAAAAACCTTTATCAGTGTTGTGTTCTTTATGAATATTCACTAACGTTTTTGACCTCCACCGAGGTCTTCTTCAGATGCTAACTACAAACAACACTTAGTCAGCACCTGAAGAAGACCTCGGTGGAGATCGAAAATGCTAGTGAATATTCGTAACGAACACAACACTGATAAAGGTTTTTTGTGGAAAGTTATTACTCAACACAGTGTTACAGTTAGAAGACGTTTGTGTTAAAAGTAACATTTAGAACCTTTATTCTGTGTTTACAACTTGAGCAACAAAATTTCAAGAAAATAACTTCATTATTTCAACAGAAAACAAAATCGTTGTTTAAATTGTCTAGCTAGTTTTCAACTACAAAAAAACACTAAAATGCAAGTTAAAGAACAAATGTCATCTTACAAACAAAATCAAAATGATAATTCTACTATTAAATGTACTGAATACTAGAAACAAAAAGAAATATCAATTTTAATATTTACATATTAAAAAGTTCTTCAAAATTTTGAATAAGAGAGAATGGGCTAAGCAAAAATATATAGCGATTTCTTAATTTATGTGACAGTTATATTCCACAATATGTGTAAATTTAAATTGTGCAAGACAATCATAAAAAATGCTATAATAACAGAATTACACTTACCAGTGTATATCATTAAATAATAAGTAAAAACAAGCACAAAATAAAAATTATTAAACTCTGAACAGATGAAAAAGCAACAATCATGCTAGCCTCTTCTGAGACTTTCCATAAATATGACTGCCAAACGTTACTTTAAATTCATGTAATTTACAGATGCATAAACTAAGAACTCACTGTATTTATAAGAATTACATAAGCTTTCTAATTATTTTGCATAATTAATATTCTGAATTAATTTATTCTAAAAATTTTTAAAAATTATTATAAGTATTCTTTNTGGTGCTTATTTATGCTTTAATCAATTTTACACAGAATTTTTATATTATACAGTCAAAATTATTAAAATATCACCGCATGTTAGTCTAAAAAGCTTATTTAAAAAGAATAAAATAAAATACATTTAGTAAAACTATAAGATTTTGCCTTTAATGTTTAAATCTACTTTATGTATTTAAAATACTTAGCTTAAAATCTTCACAACATATTTTTCTGTCATGAAAAAACAGAAATGGCAGCACTAAATCAACATATCACCACAAAATTATTTGTTAGAAATATGCTTTAATATGCTGTTTGCTTAATTCACTAACCCTGTGGGCTTTGCCCACAGGGTGAGTGAATTAAGCAAACAGGGCTTGGGCCATGTACAGTGGCCAAGGAAAAAATAGAAATGACAGCACTGAGAAGCAATGAATTAACACAAAATTTTTGAAAAAGTGAGTGAAGCTAATCACATAACTGTGGAATTGGAATGTTTTCTGTAGAACATAAAAAAAATTGATGTTCGACCAATTCAAAAAAAAATATTTTTTTTTTTTTGTTCTAGAATCTGAAGATTGTTCTGTATTATGATTTTGATAAAAAAAAATCTGAAAGGAACGTTTGTTCTTATGTAATTTAAATAAAACTGTTTTTTTTTTCCAATTAATTTGAATGTGGAAGTGCATTTTGAAACAGACCAGAGCTTAGTTTATGCTATGGAATCCTCATTTGAATTGAGGATTAAAATTTTACTAATGCCTCTGCATAAAAATAAGGAAAGAACAAAATCATAGTTTGGATAATGACAAAAATTCTTCAACATCATTATCAGTGAAGCATCAACTTGAAACATGGAAAAGAAAACAGCAAGTATCACAACAGGGACTGCAAATGTTAAGAATATCACAGTTTCAATTATGTTGGAATATATGTAGATAAGCCATTGTTTGGTCATGGATAGTATGTAGAGCTATCAAGATGTAGAACAAAGACTGATATCAGAATTCAAAACGGAAGTGAAATTAAAAATGTCGTCAAGAAAATTTTGCATAAAAGGTTTCTTTCATTAAAATTACTATTACTATTGAAAGTTTTGTTATGAATAGTCTATGTTGGAAACAAGTAAGTGAAACAAGCAGGAGGCTGGGCTCACTTCACTAATTACTTATTCATTTATTTATTTTTCTTAATCGGTTATCTGCTATAAATTTTAAAGAATTGTATATTATTTTAAAATTATAATAGATACCTTTGCCTGTACTGCATAGGATGCCAATAGTACAGATGCTTCAGGTGCACAATATATGTCCATATTTAAAATTGATTGTTTTATCTGAAGAAAGAATAAATGTTGAGTGATTTCTTGTACTAATTCTTCAGCTACATCTTCTGGAAAAAATTTTGCTAAAAGTAGAACAGGTAAAGGTGACTTTTTTGGTATATCTTGATCTTGAACCTAAAACATTAATTGATTAATTAATGCTTTGATAAGAAAAACTAAATATTATTTTTTAAATGACTAAAATAAATTTTATTTATAAATTATATATGCATCATCAAATAAAATATTAATTTTTTTAAAATCCTACCTTTTTATCTAACTTTAACCAAGCAACAAAACCTTTAGAGTCTATGTATTGTAATCCAAAATACCATACTTCTCTTAAACCAATTGTTCTGCATATTAAATCAAATAATTCTCTACCTGTAGCTTTAAACTGAAAAAATAAAATAAAATTAGGTTTTAGTAATAACAAATTTTAAAATACAAAAGTAAGAATTATTAAATTAGCTAATCTTGACAACTTCTGTTTAAACTATTAATTATACAGGGTGTCCCACTCGGGAGTACAACTTTAAAAATGCAAATTACTCGCGAACGCATGAATGTAAAGGCGAGCTGTAAGAACTGAACATACCTGTATTTAGTGGAAAACAGGTCCACATTACAAAAAATGCTCAAAATGTCCTCCCCCAACATCTGCGCACAAGGAAACACAATGCTCCATATTTGAAAATGTCCCCTGCAACATATCACTGTTGATGGCAGCAATTTCATGCTCAATGTTTGCTTTCAGTTGTTCGAGGGTCCTGGGTTTGCTTGCATACATCTTGCTCTTTAAATATCTCCATAGAAAAAAATCTGGGGGAGTTAAATTGGGCAATCGAGGTGGCCACAAACCTTTCAAGATCACTCTGTCTCCAAAAAATGATTGGATCTCTTCCATACTGGCATGAGAGGTAAAGCACATTGCCCCGTCCTGTTGGAAGTAACCTTCTTGAAGTTCATAGTTGTCCAGTTTCACAAATTCATCAAATATGGACAAGTATTGATCAGTGTTCACAGTCTTGTCAAAGAAAATTGGACTAATGATCCAAGAACGAGAAATTGCGCACCACACTCCGATCTTCATTAAATAAGGAATATTTTGAACCTTGTTGCATGATGATACATTCGCATGTATAATATGCATTCACGAGTAATTCACATTTTTAAAGTTGTACACCCGAGTGGGACACCCTGTATTACAATATAGCTTCTATTAAAGATTACTTCCAATGAATATTCAATACTCTTAATAACTAATTATATGGAAACAGTTTTTCCATGCAGATATTTGGCACTTCTCTTCAATAATTTCTCTTTGACTTTATCACTGATCTTTTGAATACATACTAATTTCTTTGAAATTGTTTCTGTAAATTCAGGAAGAATGTTTTTAAATACAGAGCTTTCTCAAGATCAAAATATCATTAATGGAGCTATCAATAAAATAAAACTCAATAAGTAATGGCAGTGAATGAAATTTTTGAGCAAATGTAATATAAAATTAGAATGCTGTACAGAAATAGAAATTACACACAAGTTTTTGCCAATAGTTAGTATATAAAATTATCTAATACGAATATTCTGCTGATCATTTTTGATTTAATTGATCAGATTGCATCTATTTATTATGTATAAATAATGAGTTTTTCAAACAAAACTAACTGAAACATCAAATGACAAAATTCTACAAATGTTTTGGATATCTGTTCTTATTATACAAATATCCCTTGATTAACATGATTAAATAATTTTAATTTCATCATCCATAAGAAAAGCTTTCTAGGATAAAAATGTGTAACTAATTTAAAAATAAAATGAAACTTTAGAGATGCCTACCTTTGTCAAACAAAATTATACTCAAAATTATATTAAAGTGAGGCCACACCTATATTATACCAAGACATGCTTTGTATGTGTTGGCCTTTGATGTGTGGGAGCCGAGGGGGGAGAAATAAAAAGAAACTCAATGAACGATAATATGTGATATATATCGTCATCGTCTCCCTTGCCATTTGGATTGCCGAGCGGTAACAATCAACGACATGTGGAAGCAGTTGAGTCAGAGATAGATGCTTCATTTACAAACAACACAACTGTTTATTAAACACGAAAAAAGCTTACAAGATTTCCGTGATCTTGGAAGTTCTGCGGCGGCTGCGGCCTCTGGGTCTTTCTCTCCTTTCCAAGATAGTCCCCTTTTGAAGGAGTGTCCCTTCTTTGCGAATGAACCATTCCATCACATCTCAACGACTCTGGGACAATGCGGTCGACTTCCATTGATGGAAAGATGTCAATCCGAGGTCGGGAGATGGAGACGAAGATGGGTGCGAGACACACACACAACAACAGATCCGTCACTTGGAACTTTTGGGAGAAGAAGCCGTCGCGTCCTTGAATTTCTGGGGTTTTATCCGTTTTCTCTCAGATTCCCCTTTCCGATTGGTCGCGGGAGAGGTCAAGATCGAAACTTAATTCGATCTCCAACCGGAAATGGTTGACGGACTTTCATTCTTCTATTGTTTAAAAGTTAGCGTCACGTTTTCATATAAAAAATCTATTTCTAACTACTATATATTTTTTCTCTAAAACAATTATTTTAACGCAAATTTTAGTGAGGGTTTGGACCTGTCCAGAGCCTCACAGATGGTTTGTGGAAAACTAACAAGCAGTGGATTGATGGTGAATCATTTTGCAAACCTTCAAATGATGTCAGATCTCGTGCCACAGAATCGTCTTACCTGTCCAAACCAATTTATAAAGTGGTAACAGTACATTGTTTGTGACATTGTTATACAGATGTATACATAGCTTCTTTAATTCTGTTCTCAGGAGACAATACTTTCTTTGGCCTTTTTGATATTTTGCTATTGAGCCCTTTTATTTTCATGATAATTTTTCTTTTATCTTATAAATCAATAATAACTAAAATTCTTTTATTGAATACAGTGCTGATATCCACAATATATATTAATATAAAACAATATTTACTATCTATGTTTGTTGCGGTCGCGAACTACTTTCTATCGCGAACTAAATAGTCAACATTTTCTGTAGAGCGGTAATTTGCCCGGAGCGTTAGCCGATGAACTACTTCTGGACTAGCTGCCGAGACGACCAGTCGACCTTGCGCTACGTTCCACGAACTGTGATACCGCTCGTTAAAAAAACATTGTAAGATGGAGTTAGAATTTAACCTGCTAGTTAATAAAAGTGTCATGTTTTTACGTTATGTCGATCGATTTACTTTAATCGGTAAGTTGGGATCAACCCGACATTGGTGATCCCGACATGTTTACAACAAAATTAGCACTTGCTAAGATAACATGAAAAACTACAAGATAATATTCACTAGCACAGTCTAAAGGTCAACAATACACAATAGTAAAACAAGTTAAGATAAAAATATCACAAAATTTAATTGTCTCTTTATCCAATGTTTCATTATTTTTATTTATTCTTCCATGAATAAGTAAATTTTTGCTTCAGAAATATGAAAAATAAAATGCAGATATAAAGAGCTTTTGCTGTACTGTTCCTTTGGTACTACTGTAATTTTAAATTCAAATACGACTCAACAAAACTATAAGAGTATAGATCTGTTGTGTAGCATCCCACTTAAATGCATCATTTCATTTTATAGTTATAATTTTACATCTCTATATAATTTTCTCTACTTAATAAACATAATATATTTTTGAAAAAATATTTAAAACAAAGTAAATTTTTTGTAAATCAGAATCATAACAACTATATTTAAATGAAGATAATATATTCCCAAATATAAAAACTTGTCAACTTCCTAACAAAATTATTTAATAATTTTTTAATAGAAGAGTTGGGATATTTAATAATTATTATATTGTAATATAACATTGCAAAATTAATAAAAGTCTGTAACAAACATTTTGATCCTGATGTAATACAGACATTTCATAAAATTTATATTGTAAGAATAAATATTTTTATTAGTGTCCATAGTGAATAATAAATATTATAATTCACTAAGAACACTAGTAAACCATTAATATAATATATCATGGAATGTTTTATTGTACATGAAAGAATAAAAATTCAATTAAAACAAATGTAATTTTCAGAATTTATTAAAAAGTTAATAACATAAGGAAAATAAAAACAAAAGATAAAAAGAGATAAAAAAGTCATTAGTTTCAAACATTTAATTTATCTGATTTTCTCTATTACTTTACTACATTATTTCAATATAAATTTTCAGTAAGCAAGTCTGATTTTTTTACTGAAAATTTGGCTTGATAATTACAATAATTCAAATCAAATTATTATGCATGGCATCAGCTTCTGATTAGTTTTCTGAACGGCTAAGTTTTCCTTATTACAGAAGTGTCTAACATAAAATACTGTCAACCTGCACAAATGAGAGTTGACAAATGAAATAAAAATAAAAGGCTGCTACTTAACTGAATGTAAAATAAACAAATTGTAATTTATTTTGTGGCAGTGCACCTTGTATTTTTTTCTTTATGTATGTTTCTTTTTGTCTATTCCCTGTATTTCCAGATTTGGAATAGCTTGTCTATTCTTGTTTCTTTGAGTAACTTCAACTCTGGAGTAGCCCCTCTTCCTGCCCAATTGGGGAGGACCAGTCAGACGAGTTTTGAAAGTATTCCCAGGAAGTGAAGGAAGGAGGAGAACTTTACTTTTGGATGAGAGACAAGCCAGGTCAGACATCAGATCCATCTCTTACAAAGAGAAGACTTCCATGGGCCAGAGAAGGTCATCAAAGGAAAGCATGTGGGGCTTTAAGGTCTTCAAAGCCACAACTAACATGTGGAGGATGAAAACAAGATCACCACTAGATAAGCAAAATCATGCAAGGATTTACCTTTCTGCTTGATATTCAAGATTTGGATTGTCTTTTTCGCTGCCAATACTTTTCCGACTAAATAACATTACTACTCATTATCGTTTTGGACTGTTCTCACAGTACTATCTAAGTTGCCATCTCCCAGAACCAATTAATTTTGTAATAGCTTTAGTTTGGTAATAATTCTTAATTTTAGTCTAATACAGTAGAGCATCGATTATCCGAAACAATTCGGGACTGGGGTTGTTCGGATAACTGATTTTTTGAATAACTGATCATTTACAAAAAAATATATTAAACACAAAACTGTACTGTATATAATTTGTATCACATGTCTTACAAATACATACCTTACATAATGTAATATATTAAACTAGGCCTACAGTTCAGTTTGGCAGGGAGGGGAAGAGTGCTGCAACACCACAGCTCTAGCGGAAATTTGAATTTGCCAACTGGAATACTTTCAGTTAACCGATGTTTTGGTTAATCGGTATTTGGATAATTGATGTTCTATTGTATTAATACATAAGATAAGATTAAATATA